ACTAAGCTACCAAATTAATCTTTAATAAATAGTGCAAATTATATGCACATAATTATATGCAAATTATAACGTGAATTTTGTGAATTCATTTACTCTTTACAAAATTATCCCTTAAAAAAAGAGAGGATTCATCTTTTACTTAACTCCTTACAAAAATCTTTCAAATTTTAAGTCACTTTCAATTATTTGATTTATAGCAATAATGTATTGTTTGGAAAAGTCATATGATCTTAAAATCTCAATAATTCACAATGCTTATAAAAGTCCCCTGACGATCAGTTTAAGAATAAAAAGGAGACAAAATAATTTAACACGGATTGATTAGTTACACAGATTATTCCTGTGTGTACAACCTTAAAATTTTAACTATTGTTTTTTTGTGTGCCATTAAAATCTAATGGTTTACTGTATTTTTGACCAGGTTCTTATGGTTTGCAATAGAATTTCCAGTGATAGCATGAAACATATATTTAGAAAACTGTGACATATCCAACAACTTTGATGGAAGAAAACCATTGTTACATAAATCAATACATTACCATGGTCACTTATGAAGAATGATGCAAAGATTCATGTGAAAAATTTGAATGAGTGAAGAAATATTCTCGTTTCTACCATAAATTCTTCAGCTTCACTGAACTGCTTCATCCACCCAACTAAAATTCAATATATTAGAGTTGGCTCAAAGTTTTCATGGATCTTTTCGTTGGAAAGAGAAGAGACTGTGCTGTACGTGGGCATAGAGGTGGCTTCAGTGCTTACATTTAGGACTTGTAGAATCTCCATCTTGAAGGAAACAGTACTAAAAGGTTGTTGGCGTATGTTTAAATACTTTAAATGCTGAACCTCCAGCAGCTCATTCTGTCTCTGGATATTCCTTTTGTTAAATGTTTCCTTACCTTGAACTACACTTACCTCCCTGCTGTCTCCCCCCTCATAGATGATACTGACACGGTTGCAGACGTGTTGAGCAAGTCTGACATCTTCATATATGAAGAAAGCTGATAGGTTCCTGTTTTGTCCTGCTCACTAACTCTGAATCCCAAAGATCCCAAAATAGAAAATAAGAAAATTTGCAATTGAGCATTTAAAAAAACTGTATCAACGATAGTAGCTTAAAAACTCCATGAAAACTGAAGCTGTGACTATCTTTTACTGCTGTATCCTCTGCAGTAAAGAGAAGATATTTGATAAAGATTTCCCGAAAGAATAAATCACAAGAAAATAATTGCTATTCTATCATAGTTGATTAAAACACCGTTTCAGTTTATAGATGGACTTGGAGGAAAGTTGAGGGCTTGACTATAGTCAAGCAGAAAAATCAAATAATTTCCCCATCTATATTCAATGCCATTAATATTCTAAATCTAAATCACATATTTTAACAATCATTAAAAGACATGTCCTTGGTATAAAATGAAAAAGTTATTTGAAAATTAACATTTGTATTATAAAGCTTTGCTTTTTCCCAATATACACTTCCCCAGTTGGTATTTAAAAAAACAAAAGAAAAACATAAAAACTCCAAGGCTTTAAATTTCCACTTTATTGACAAAGTGAGGGTGTCAAGGTTGTACTGTGTCCAAAATCATAATTTAGCAGTTAAAGATTCAAATCCAATTCTTTTAACTAAACTCAGTAAAAAGAGGAATAGAGACCTTCTGAAAAAATTCTCATTTAAAAGTTACCAAGTAACAATTACAAAATATTTCAAACCTATGAATCTCAGGTTCTTCATCTATAACATAAGGGGACTAGGTTACAATCTGATCTTTCTCAAGTCTGCTTAAACTCTAAACTTGTTTCCGTAGTTATGAGTAACTTACAATTTTAATAAAAGGAAAAAATGTTTTGTGGAAGATCAGTCTTAGCTGCTGTCATTGCATGCACAGAGAACTATTCATTATCACAAACAACCAAAAGATACTTAGTAAAAATTACAAACAATTGCATGTTTTCAATTACTTTATTTTAGAAAAACAAAAGTTAACAATTGGTTCCATAAGGCAGGGTACCATGAATTCAACAAGTTAGTAATACAGACTCTCAAAAACCTTTACAGATTAGTCCAAAGTAGAAAATTATTTTTTGCTCACTCCTGGACTCACACACACTCAGAAAAAAATATATATTTATAAAAAATAAAATGGCAAACCTAATTCCACCAATTGATAGTCTTAATATCCTATACTGGTTTATTTGAATAATTTCTGTATAATAGCTCAGTGATTTTTTTCTTGTTCTACCACCATACCATACAAAGCAACGATGAAAACATTTATTTTGCAAAACCAAAAAAGCCCCCCAAATACACAAAACATCATTAACAACAAAATCCACTAAAAAACAATACAGCTAATTGTTTTAACTACTCATACAGACCCTTTCTTCAACCTGTGTAGACACTTGGCATCTTAATGCTATTTCTAAACCAGGAAGCACTATGTGTGATGAAGAAAATAAAAATTCTAGGTCTAGTGCACCTCAAACAAGTTTCAGATAATAGTAGCCAGAAAAACATTGATGCACAAAATGAAACAAAAAGATTGCAAGCTATAATGGCATGCAGAGGGTACTTGATAAAAACATGTATTTTCTCTTTGAAATATCCTTAAATATTAATCTGAGCACCAGATTCAGCAACAGCGAGGATCTAGAATTTTGGACTTTTAGAAATAGAGCTTTGTTCCAACTGAAAGAGAAGGCAAAACCTCCAGCTTTCTGCAGGACCTCACTACTGATATGTAAACATGATAAGATTAGTCACTGAATTAAAATATTTATGTTCTTCTACTAGACTCAGTTATTAAGAGATCTGCCTTTATTTTGAAGTAATTTTTCCTGAAATGAAAATATCATAGTAAGCTCTGACGTCACATTAAAGGGAAAAAGCATACTAGTGAACAAATTTAAAAATCTGTTTTGTGAGCAGTTTGACAATGTAAATAAAAATACTCAAAAGTAAAAAGCAAAATTTTAATACAAAAACGGAAAAAATAAAATTATTCATTACAAACCACCTACATATTTTGTTTTCCCAAAAGACACACTTTCAAAGCACAACTAGAATATGAGGCAACAGAAGAGTTGTGAAAAGGATAACAACTAAGGCTTTCATTTATAAAGGACAACATCACAGAATACAAAGCAAAATCACTGGATTTTTGTTTGCTGACATGTTAAGCTTTATCCCCACCCACCTGATATCTTTCATTTACAGGTGATGATGGACAAAACAAAATATGCAGATGACTAACAACTGATAGTGACAAGCATGAAGAAAAAAAAATGAATGATATTTTCTATAACTATTTCCTCATGTCACTGCTAAATTTGCACTTCCTTACTAGACCGAATCTCAAATGAGGCATCTGCACTTATGTAAGCTTTTCACTATTGCAAAACAAGCTTGACCACAGGGAACATTACTATTTATCTTCCCAAAGAATGTCTCATTATTCTTTGGAGAAAAATCTACTTGTTAATTAACAGCACTCTCCAGTTTCCATTTAAGAACTTTTCATTCTAGTATTTCCCAAAATTCCCTGTGACTATATATCTGTTTCATTATTAAATAATAAAAATGGGGTGCCAAACATTAAGAATGAGTAATTATTAAATACTAAAAGGGCACATGAATATAATAAAACAATGACTAGTAATTCCTTAAGATACAAGTTTCAGTTTAGTCCTGATCAATATGGCATCGGAAACAACCAAAGACTGCCACTGCTGACCAAAGCCAATTTCAGTGTCGGGACCATCAATTACATATTTTTAAAATGATTAAACATCTAAAAATGTTCAGGACAATCCTTTATAATTAATAACTAAATCATTCAATGAATAACCACCCAAACAACAGTTACCTAATAAAAATTCTAAACTTGGGTAAAATGAAGTCCTCAAAAATAACTAATCTACAATAAATACAAAACTGTTACTTAAAAAAATACCAATTTTTAGACACTACTTGGGATAGAATTCCTATATTATTTCACTATAGATAGAAGAGGTTACTCATTGATATGGGTGCCAGAATTAACAGAATAGAGAAAGTAACTGTTCAATCTCTTTTTTGCACTGCATGTGACTTTTGTCACTTGACATGCTAATTACATCACTCATTATTCATTCTGAACACAGTTACACCCACAGCATTACATAAGAGATGTGTCAATAAATTGTGTGTGTGTGTGTGTGTGCAAATACACACATATTTTGGACTACGAGTTACCATAAAATTTATATACCATACACATAAAAATATGATATATATTACTTTTCAAAAAACAGATTATCAAAGAAAATTTTAGAAGAAATCTTCATATATAAAATAGAAATGGAACAAAACAAAAAGACTAAGGTATTATGGCTAAAGGAGGGTAGGATTAACAGAAACACTTCCCTTCCTGCAATGACCCAAGAGACACCATCTAAGAGTATTTATTCCAGGGCATGGATTCAAACCACCGTTCCCAGTAAATCCTGTTTATTTTGAAAAGGTCAATAACGAGACTACTTTTCCCACTATATAGGCCCATATGAAAATTTTATAATAATGCAACTGAGTATAAAGTTAAAAAGTAACATTGCCTCTCCTTTAAAAATAATAACAAAATAAAACCACTATGCTATATAAAAACCATATTATTCTTAACCTCATAATCTTAATTTGATACATGGAAAAAGTTATCAGTTCTCCTTAAAGTGCCTACATTTTAAAGACTTAATTTTGTCCATATAAATCTTATCCAAAATATATGAAGAGGATAGATGGTTAGGAGATGGAACTTATTACTTTTCTATATCAAACACGTATCTTCTACCTGACTGACCAATTTAAATATTCTGCCAAGAATCTTAACTTTGTCACAGAATATTCAGATAGAGAAACATGCAAATAGAACTGATCTGTTATAACACCTATAGGTAAACTTTGATGGAGTGCTTTGACTTTGTTAGTTTTAGACAAATCATCTCTTTGCTCCAAACATCTCCACATTTATGGAAGGAGTACTTTAATCCATGCTGTTGATATTAGCAAAATACAAATAACATGTTTTCTTCTGTAAAGATCATGATTAAATGTCTAAATTCAATAAATAGATTCTTTAATAATTTGAAATCCTATCAAATATTTTATACTAGTAAAGTCTCAATCTTTCTTCTTTTCTAATACATCCTTGGGTTCTTGCACTGCAGGCACTAAAGATCCTCCACTGCTTGGCTCCTGTTTTTCTTTGCTCTCTTCTATCTGTTCTTGGCTTTCAATTTCACTCTTAGACACTTCATATCGTTCTTCGATATAACCTCCATCTGTGTCAGCTGTGTAGATACCATAGCACATGATACTGATGACACCCAGTGGCAGGCCAAAGAGAAAGCAGCCCATAAGTGGTGAGCTCTTGAATATAGACTGTGGAAAGATAATTAAAACTCAGATGTAATTCTGATAGAAAAAGCATGAAATAAATTTAAAACCATTACAGATTTCTTCCTTTTGCTGCTGTTCAACTTGCTTTGGGTTAGAATCAATGTCAATATTTCTGCAGTAACTACCATGTTAAAGACATACTGTAAGAGATACAACCCTATATGCACCTGTGCAGGTGTGCATGTGTGTGCATGTCTGTGTACAGAACCATCTACTGGCAACAGCAGAAGGCACCAAATACTCACCTGTAAGAGATACAACCCTATATGCACCTGTGCAGGTGTGCATGTGTGTGCATGTCTGTGTATAGAACCATCTACTGGCAACAGCAGAAGGCACCAAATACTCACTAACCTTTTCTAAAGACACTTACTCTTCTCACGTTATCCACAAAGTTCTCTAAGATGGTTACTACGTGCCAACAGTTCTGAAATTGCTTCCTGAACTATTAAGAATCTGCTCAAGGAGAAGGCTGGATTATTTAACATGAAGAAAGTACACACATATTTTCATCACATAACATTTTAAATATTTTTTACTCATCTGGTTAGTAGTAAAGCCTCATTAACTTATTAAATTCCCTTAATTTATATACTGCCTCCTCAGCTGTCAGAAAAGTAAAAGTAATTTTACTGAATAGATTTTAAAAGTATAACATATTCTATGGGCTGCATCTATTCTATAACTTTTGTTAATACAGACAAGGTCAGAGGACAGAAAGATCACTTTGGATTGAAATAACAGAAGAAGGCTTCACAGATAAAGGTGTGTTTTGAAGGGGAAATTTAAGGATGAGTAAGAATGTGGCAGGGCAAGGTACGATGTTGAGCACTAGCAATTAGCGCAGGAAAGATTATGCAACACTCAAAACCCAATGAGAATATTTCAGATGGGCAGAGTATTCTGATGTGTACCACTGCAGAAAACGATCAAAATCGATTATTTTAGTAACATTAACTGTGCAGTGGTATACAGAATTGATTAGAGACTGAGAAAAAGGAAGTGTTGAAACCACGCAAAATTGAGAATAGCAGTTAGACATAATGTGACAGGGCTCAACCCATGCTGGTGGCAACAGAAAAGCAAAGTAGTGTCTGACAAATTGAGGGATACTATGCAAAAATCAAAGATTATCAGAATTTACTTCTAACCAATAAAGAAGGGTAGCTATATTTTCCTGACTGCTTTTGGCTACAATGAATGGAAATGCCCATGGAGCAGCTCAAGGTAGAAAACTGGAACTAAATTTAGGATTCAGACAAATTTAGGAATGTCTCTGCTGTCAAGGTGACTGAGAGTTACAGCTGGAAGAGAAAGAACAAACTCTTAGAGTTCCAAGCAGAAAAGGGCAGAAGGAAGAAAGAGACTCTGAAAAACACTGAACTGGAGGTGGTGAGAGCAGGGAGAGTAGTGATTACATGATCACAGTAACAAGGGAAAGGAGAAGGCCAAGGAAGGAGGCATTGCATTTACAGAGTAAATACATCAACAGATGGAGTAATTAGTAGGCAGTTGGTGAGCCTGGGCATTAGTTTGATAGAGTAAAAAGAAGAGGAAATTAAAATGGCAGAAATAATCAGGAGAGGCAACAGTGAAGAAAGACAAGGAAACATATATAGAAACTAATTACAAAAGGAAAGAAAAAAGTGTAATCAGGGCAGACATGTCAATTTGAGTTATTCAAGTTATCGACTATGTTTAGATAATATCTACTATGTTTAGAATAAACACTGGGATGAACAAATGGAAGAAAACATTGTTGGAAAGCATGTGACCCCACCACATTATAATTCCACATTTAAAGTCTACTTTTTAAAGAGAGAATGAAAGAAAAAAAGAAATAACAAAAGAAAGGAAGAAAGGAGAGGAGAAAGGGAAGGAAAGATCTGTAAACCATCCTAATTATTTACCAACTGGGGAAAGTACAGAATTAATAGGATGTTTAAAACTTTAAGATCTAAAATTCTGACTGGAAAATGAGAAGGAATGACTTCCCAAGACGCATAATTTTCTTCAACAAAAATGACCAATTCACAAAAGAAAGCACTTAGTGGAACTAAAAATTTCATATTATCTACCCTTTCATCAAATCACAGAAATTATTAAGTAAAACCTTCACACGTGGATTGAGGAAATAAAGTCAAACTAACAAGTGAATTGATTCTGAATTTCAATTAACTCAAGAATCATACAGAAATGAATAAAAGAAACTTAATTTCTACCTAACGAATATATTTTCTTAATGTAAATACTGATTAGTTCTGCTGGTTGGTTAGCTCAATTGGTTAGAGTGTGGCCTTACAACACCAAGATCAAGGGTTCAGTTCCCCATACCGGCCAGCCACAAAAGAAAAAAAAAAATGCTGATTAGTTCATATCCTGCAAATTAAAGACATATTTTGACCTAATCCTTTGAAATTCCAGATTTGACTATAGTTAGACATAAAGAACCTATACATTTTTAATTACCAATGACACTAAACAAACTGTCACAACTTACCACAATAGTAGATTTGGCGTCGAATACTATTCTTTTCAATCTCTGCAAAATGCTATCACCTCCTTGGGCCTTCGTTTTAACAGGAAAAAAAGTTAAATTGTTATTAAAGTACTATTACTTCATTTTTCTATGTTATATAATCTTAATAATTGTACATCAAAGGTTGACTACAAAATACTACATAAATCACCTGGAAAAGTTGGAAAGTAAACATCTACTGTTTTTTCTTGTGCCACATTCCTCCGCCTTCTTGTGTTAACACACCCTGATTCTCCTCTGAAGAATTCATCCACCCCTATTCATAATCCCTGCAGCTTGACTGAAGTTATCCCACTCCCAGAGTCCAGGCCTACCCAGTTTTGAGTTTAGCCAGGATTACTAAACCCAAGCTCCTGCAGGGTACCTCTGCTATTGTGTACAGAGAGTACCCCTGAGGAGGAAGCTCAACAAGAAAAGGAAGAGAAAAATTCCTGATGAAAACAAATCAAATCTCTGCATTCAGCCATCTCTGAAGTCTGGCTCATTCTTTGAATTTCTGAGATATATGAATCAATAAAAACTCTTTGTTGTTAAACAGTTTGAGTTGGGTGTCACTAACTTAGAAAAAAAGGGCTGTCACTCATACAGGTAAATTTCATTAAAAAAAAAATTTGTTTTCACAAATATAAAATTCCTACTATGTGATTAGGAGTGTCTTTCAAACTTCTTGACCTTGACCCAAAGTAGATATACTTGCAACTGAAAGCCTACTTTCAAATAAAGTTTGTGCAAAGCTGAAACAAAAGTTCCACAAAATAGTAACTAAACTTCATGAAAGCAATGAAGTCTCCTATTTTCTTTTTTATTCTATTCTAGTCTACTGAATTAGGATGCATGCTGGTTGCAATCTGATTGTGATATGAGGTGATTTCATGACCCTCTGAGTTTCAATCCACAGTTTGAAAAACACTGCAGTAAGATTTATAGAAAAACTGAAAAAATAAGACTATCTTTTCATTTCTGAGAAATACCTTACAGGATTATATTTGTAACTCTCCACTGGGGCTCTGATTCTCAATACATTTCCCTCACTATTAAGAAACTACGGTCTTATTTGCAGATTTTCTTAGAAAACCAATCGTAATAACTTAATCCAACTGTAGATTTGGACCTAGAAAGGTATTAAGAGCCAGGGAAGCTCACTACTAGAATTACTCCACACAGTGTAGACTTCTTAGCATCCCTAGCCCCCAACCAACAACACCTCCCCATCACCCTGACAACCAAAAATGCCCTCCAAAGAACCCCTAAAGAGGCATTAACAACTACTAGCAACCTCTTCCATAAGAGAACCTTCTGCATTGGGAGGATGTGAGTCTCCTGTTACAGAAGAGCAATGTATGGAAGCCCATCTCCCTTCACCCCCAGGTGATACTCCTTTCAGAATTAGAAGTAGAGGGGGCCGAGCCCGTGGCGCACTTGGGAGAGTGCGGCGCTGGGAGCGCAGCAACGCTACCGCCGCGGGTTCGGATCCTATATAGGAATGGCTGGTGCGCTCACTGGCTGAGTGCGGTGCGGGCAACCCCACACCAAGGGTTGTGGTCCCCTTACCGGTCACGAAAAAGACAAAAAAAAAAAAAAAGAATTAGAAGTAGAGAAATGAACTAGATTCACCTCTACCTCTTCCCTGGTCCCCTTACCGGTCAAGAAAAAGACAAAAAAAAAAAAAAGAATTAGAAGTAGAGAAATGAACTAGATTCACCTCTACCTCTTCCCCATCATTCCTTTGAAATGGACATTAACAACTTACTTCTACTGTGCCATCCAAAATGTTATTAATGAACTGGACCATGTCTTCAGCATTCTTAATCTGTCTATCTAGCAAGAAGTATTGTTGGTTTGAAGTATTCAGTACAACTACAGTTGGGACTGTCAATTCACTGAAAACATAAAAACAAAGAAATAAAAACAGACATTAAACATAGTGATAACAAACATTCTGATACTTACTTATATATCAGTAGGTATAATTACAGGAGGGAGCTATATTAATAGCTTTGCCTCCCTTTGCCCGTATGAAGAAAATTTCAAATTTTACATTGATTTTGAAACTAGTTAAGATTATATAAAAAACACTAATATACAATGCAATAGAGACAGCTGAGTGATCATGATTTATCTTAATGATAAAAATTAAGGTGTCTGGAGTATGACTTTCTGGGCAGTTTTATTCCTTGCCACAAATTCACTTTCAATATCATCACTGTTAATCATACACCACCCCACATCAGTTAAATGGTAACCAGACAGGTAAGAGCATGGTTTCTGGAGTTATACTACTTGTGTTTATATTCAGGGCTTTCTCTTAAAGGTGCAAGTAATTTAGCTTCTTATATGTAATGTTTTTCATTTATAAAGAGGGGATGCAACAGTACCTACCTTGCTATAAAAATTACACGAGAAAATTCAAGTTAAACATTCAGCACAGTGTCTTGTACATAATACATGTTCAATGAGCACTAGCACAAATTCTCTGAACTCCCACCATCACACTATTACGTCATCACATCCTCAGGAAGTGCTTTAGTCATATACTAGACAATAGTTCAGTTTGCAGATGAAAAATTATACAATATTACCAATATGTGCCACTCAATGCCTTAATTTTATTGTCTTTGGGAACAGGTTTTTGCATAGTCATAAAAAAGGGAGTGCTTAATACCATGTCCCATGCATCATTCTATGGTTATTCGTATGCCCATGTCTACATGAAAGTATTATGTTAAAGTATAAGCTTTTATAGTAGGAGCATGTTACACAACTCTATTGTCACCACATAAGTAACTGAGTCCAGTGGACTGCTTTATTGTTCATAATTCTTTATCCCTCCCTGTACCGCACCCTTTTCCATGTCACGTGACCCCTGACATTGGGCTCAGCCATTTTGACCTGGTCAATGGAGAGTTGAGAGATGTGACTTCAGCAGAGGTTTGAAGAATGCTAGCGTGGTTGGGCTGGCTGGCTTGTATTTCTGACTGTCATGAGAACACCTCCCAGGAAAATATCCTGCCAAGAGTCAAGGACCTGGAAGACGTGTGCAGTAGGCCTGAATCTAACTGGTAGTTTGGAGCCACATCTAGCTGTGCCCAACTAAGGTCAGCCACCCCAGAATAAGTGAGAGAGAATAAATGATTAATGCTTTAAACCACTGGGTAACAGGTGCTTTATAGTCCAGTATTATATATTAGGCAAGAATTAACTGGTTGTGCATTTAATAAAATCTTAGCTCCACTCTTGTTCATAAAAACACACGAGATAGCTTTTAAATTTATAGCTGTTTAGTTATTATCATAATGCATGAGAAGCAAAAAATTATATTTTTATGAAATGGATTGGAACCTGGCCTTCTTACAAAAACACATTTTATGGAAAAGTTAAATACCCAATTGAACTAGGAAACAAATGTTTGTTTTGAAGTAATTTAATTTGAATAAAGATGGAAAATAAGATTTCATCCTATTCCTTCTTAATTATATTCACAAAAACCCAATACAAAATAATTTCATAGCTCAAAGGTCTTAGAGTACCTTATTTATCTTGACAAAAGTTAAAAAAAAAGTCAATGCTAAAATAATTTTATCTTATATAATATCTTATATTTGCCCTACGTTAAAAACATTTTAGGCAGCAATAGCTATTAAATTCCACTAATTTATCTGTCCATATGAATGTCATGGGAGCTAAGAGGTTTGGAATAAGATTTGGATTTGAGGACTAGATCTCTTTAACTTATTTGTCTTATTTGTTGGGCAGCCTCTGGAATTATTATTCAACTTCCTTGAGTTTCTTCTAAGAAATTTCAATTGCCCCATCTATACGAAATGGAAATAATAATAGTACTTATACCTCACTGAGATACTGTAAAAATTAGAAAATATACATTGACCACTTAGTGCAGAGTTGGCCAGAGGGTAAGGGCTTAACAAGTCAATATATGCCTTCTCTCAAAAAAATAATAAATAAATAAAAATGAATGAATGAATGAATGAATGAATGAATGAAGAAATAGTGCAGAGTTGGCCAGAGGGTAAGGGCTTAACAAGTCAATATATGCCTTCTCTCAAAAAATAATAAATAAAAATGAATGAATGAATGAATGAATGAATGAATGAAGAAATAAATACCCCCAAACAATAAGGGAGTGGGTGGTAGAGGGGGAAGATTACTATCAGTGTCCTAAGTACTTTAATTCCAAAGCAACTTTCACATTTTTTTCCTCTTATACTTTGTAAGAGTTGTATACAGTGATATCTAATGAATCAGATCTCTTTAAAAAGAGTTTCAAGAAAGCAGAATTACCTTGTTCCTCAAGACATGGAAAAATACACTCAGTATTATTTCCTATGTGAAATCATTCATATGGTTGAAACATTATTATAGCACTTCTAGCACATGAAGTCATTTTCTTTTAGTAAAATAATTTTAAAATGTCCATACTTCAGGGGGAAAAAGCCAAAAAACAAAATATATTTAATATGTGCATTAGTTTTCTACTGCTGCCATCACAAACTACCATAAATCCAACGCTTAGGACCACAGGCATTTACTACGTTACAGTGCTGTGGGTCAGAAGTCCTACGTGCCTGGCTGGATCCTCCACTCACTAGGTGGAAATCAAGCTGTCAGCAGGGCTGTGTTCCTTACTGGAGGCTCTGGGAAGAATACACTTCCAGGCTCATTCTATGTCGGACAGAATTTAGGTCCACACAACTGGAGGATTAAGGTCCTTGTTTCCTCGCTGGTTGTCAACCAAGGGTTGTTGTAAGCCTTGGAGGCCAGCCACATTCCCTGGCTTGTGGCCTTTTCCATCTTCAAAGCCAACAACAATGGGGAGCCCTTCTTACGCTTCAAATTTCCCTCATGTACCCTTCTACTGTATCATCTCTCTGCTTTCACTAGAGAAAGTTCTCTCCTTTTAAAGCCTCACATGATTCAATAGGGCCCCCCATAAATAATCCAAGATAACCTCCTATTTTAAGGTCCATAAACTTAACTGCATCTGCAAAGTGCCATTTGGCCTATAATTCACAAATTCTAGGAATTGGGGCACGGATATCTTTGGAGAACCATCCTGCTTACCACAATGTAGAAAACAGGTGAAAAGTGAAATGTATCTATTTTCCCAGTACAAATCACTTGTCTGACTTGCCTATGTGTCCTCTTAATTCCTTCATAAACTCCCTAGTTCCCCACTGTTTTTATATCCCCTGTACACATTCCTACTTATTTACCAGTAAATATATTATCTTCCAAATATTTTTGTACTCTGAAATTATGAGTTTTTTAAAAAATATCGATACTAGTTTTTAGAAAAAACACAAATATAGTTATTTCTATATAGTAAAGTGATATTAAAAAAATTTAAAACATTGTCATCTTGTAATGATTTTTTTTCCTCCTCCTAAGAGGATTCTCTATAAAATGCTGATTTTTTGGGGGGGCAGCTGGCCAGTATGGAGATCTAAATCCTTGACCTTGGTGTTACCAGCACCAACACGTTCTACCATGTTGACTAACCGGCCATCCCCAAGACGCATAGTATTTAAGACAATGACGGCATATATCTTCCACCTCTATCCTTAAATCTAAACATATTTTTAAAATGCCTATTCAGTTGCTTTGCACATTTTTTCTTTTTTTTTACTAGCATATTCATTACTACAAATCACACTTATTCTTTATGCCTTTCTCTCCCTCCCCATTCTAATAACCATAGGTTTGTTTCCTCCTTCTGAGAGATTAACTGTTTCTCTGTTGATGTGTTGCCTAGATGATCTGTCCAGTGCTGAGAGAGGTGTGCTCAGGTCCCCACTATTATCGTAGAGCAGATGCTTCTTCTATTACTCCGGAGTGTGCTTTGTGGAGAGAGACATCCTCTTTTCTTTTGTGATCTCTGCTGGTGACTCTCCATGTGTCAACACAGTCAGATGTCTGGTGGGTCACCTGCACAGTGACTGTAACTACTGCTGTGGTGACTAGCCACTTTTGCAGCAGCTGTGGCAACTGAGATGGCTATGGTGGGCTACCTGAATGGAAATGGTGTGCTCTTTACCTGGCAGCAGCTGCATGCCTGCCTGCAGGCGGGTGTGGTTTCCCCCGGCTCCATGCCTCAGGACCTCTGGTCGTAGCCCATTTTTTTTAACTGGATTATTAGTTTTTTGACCGTGAAGTTGTTTGAGTTCCTTACATATCCCAGATATTAATCCCTTGTCACATGTATAGTTTGCAAATATCTTTCCACTCTGTTGTTTCCTTTGCTGTACAAAAGCTTTTTTAGTTTGATATAATCCCAAATTTTCATCTTTTCTTTTGTTGTTTGTGCTTTTGGGGTCTTATTCATAAAGTCTTGGCCCAGTCCTACTTCCTGAAGTGTTTCCCCTGTTTTATTTCAGTAGTTTTATGGTTTTAGGTCTTACACTTAAGTTTTTAATCAATATGTGTTGATTTTGGTATATGGCAAGAGGTACATGCCTAGTTTCATTCTTCTGCATATAGATGTCCAATTTTCCCAGTACCATTTATTGAAGAGGCAGTCTTTCCCCCAATGTATGTTCTTGTTGCCTCTGTCAAAGATCAGTTGGCTGTAAGTATTTTGGGTTGAGTTGATTTCTGGGTTCTCTACTTTGTTTCATTGGTCCCAGTATCTCTTTACGTCAGTACCATGCTGTTTTGGTTACAATAGCTTTGTAGTATAATTTGAAGTCAGGTAGTGCCTCTGGCTTTTTCTTTTTGGCTCAATTTTGCTTTGGCTATTTGTAGTCTTTTGTTGTTCTATATGAATGTTAGGATTTTTTTTTCTATTTCTGTGAAAAATGTCATTGATATTTTGATGGGGATTGCACTGAATTAAATAGATAGGTTTGGGTAGTATGGACATTTT